CCCTTGGCATCAATGATCGCCTGGAGTCTTCTCGGCATTGATTCTATAAGTACTCGCTCCATTTCAGAAGAAATTGATTCCCAAGCATTTAAAGTGTCCTGCCAAGCCTCGTCCTGACATTTCCCAATTCTAGCAGGAATCAGTGATTTAAGGATGTGCCAGATGTTTTCAATTATATTTAAATCAGGACTCTGCGGGGGCCGTTTAAGAGTATTTTGTTCAATATCTGACAAAAATTGTTTAATCATGTGGGCAGTATGAATAGGCGCATTGTCTTGTTGCAAAATAAAATTAGTACCAATAAGTACATCGCCAGCAACAATTGCAACATTATTCAAAATTTCTAAATAACTAGATGCAGTCATTTTATTGGGGCATAAAACAATGGGTCCTTTACCATAATATGAAACACATCCCCATATCATAATTTTTCCTCCATTAGAATGACGTGTAGGGGCAGTAACTGCTCTAGTTGTTTTATGTATTGTCTCAGAATGATAATAATGTCGCCCATAGGTGCCGTCTAATGAAATCGTAGTCTCATCGGTCCATAATATTTGCTTCCAATACTCTAAAGACTTATCTTTATATTCCAAAGCAAATTGCAATCTAGCCTCTCGATTTTTAGGAGTAATATAGGGTTGCTTGCGAATGACGTAAGATTTAAATCCGTTCTCCTTAAGTCTCCTGCGAACTGTTGTCATACTTACTTTATTTTCCCGGTTGTCGTTGAAGTTAGACAACGCTGATTTAAAAGTTTGGCGTGGATATATTTTAAAAGACCGACATATAAGTGTGTCATCTTTTTTATTTGTCACTCTTTTTCTCCCTCTCCCTGGTAGGTTCTCACAATTATGATGATTTTTATATTTGTCTACGAGGTAATAAACAGTTCGCCGATCACAATTATATTTTTTAGCTATTTCTGAAGCTGAAACACCGCAATTAAACTCAGCAATTATTGTAGCACGCGTTTCGATTTTTAATTCTGCTTTTTTAGGCATTTTGAAAATTTATATGCACTTCACTGGAACGCAACTTTAGCTCTAATGATTGCAAATTAATATTTTTTCATTTATTATGATGAATTGTGTTCAAATTTACAACAACAAATCAGTAACAGTTATTTGAAGACCTCTGAAAATAATTGTGGCGCCATTGACGATATGTGAAAATAATTTTGGCTATTAGATTTTTGTTTTTATTTTTTGTTGTGTTTTTTTGTTTTGATTTTTGTTTTTATGTATTGATATGTAAACCATTAATGAATTTAAAATATAAATATGGACTTAAAATATTAATAATTGTAGAAATTATGTGAATTTAAACTTTAATTTCACAAAAATTTTGCCTTGTGAAAATAATTGTGGCTATGACTGTATGTATAGACATTAGTTGTGTAGGTATATATGTATATATATATGAATAATAGAGGTATACGTATGCAACTATGGATGTAGGATTATTAAAAATAATTTTGAATTTTTAGAAATCTATTAATATATTTAATAGAATTTACTATATTACATATTGTATAATTAATTAATCATAGTGTGATAAATCAATTTTGAAGTTCAATGTACAAGATCAAAATGTATATTTATTAATTTTGGCAATGAATTAAAAAAAGAACTTGTTGTTAAATAAATAATATTTTAAATTTGAACGAGATTTGAATCAAATTGAATTTCTCTTTAAATATGTTTTTATAATTTCATTGATATTGTATTTGTATTATAATTTAATTTAATTTTTAATTTTGGATTAAATGTAATAAATGTTGATTTCCATTTTGTTTATGCAGACATTTTGTCATTCACTTTTACATTGTCACACACGAGTCATTCAACTTTACATTGTTTTAAACAAGTTTGGAATGCGCAAGAAAAGCAGAAAGTGCATTGAAAAAATCTCTATGCTTTTCATAAACTTTCAGAATGCAATATACATTTTACAAATTCGTAGAGCATTTGACTTATTTTATATTTTAAATAATTGCTTTTACTATTTTCTGCATTGCAATAAAGTTGATAAGGTTGAAGACAAAATGCCAAATCTTAAAACACGGCAATTTAAATTTCTTTCCATAATGAAAATAATGCCCTCAGTAAATATAATAAAGTTTTGAGGTTGTTTAAAGGCGATTTTAAAATTTATTTTTTCACAATCTGGAAGTCAGGCAATTTTACGTTAATGATTTTGTTGATTATGTTCTTTTGAGTGTCGATTTAAATTTTAGTTAAGAAAGAATTCTTCCATAGAAACCTACACGTATATATTTCGATTTTATATTGAATGAAAAACCATAGGCGATTTCTTATCACTTTAATATTTTTAGTATTTATTTAGTCACTTATAATGATGCTAATTATCAGAGGGAAAGAAGAAAGTCATCATTTAATTAACATATACAAGTAGAGAAAAAAATCAGAATAAAATAGATTTACATAGTACATACATATGTAGGAGATATTCTTTCATAATTCTAAAATTAAAACAAATTTATTGAGAAATTCTTTTACATACACATAATAAGTACCACACGCAAAGTATGTGTGTATTTACGTTTGGATCAAAATTTTATTTTTGTTGCAGAAACATCTATGTATGGTTCGTTATATTATTTTTACTCTATGACAAAACTTAATAAACTTGCATAATGTAAGTCATGTATTATTATGTAGATATTAAATGCCATAAAAATTATTTTTGAATACATTAAACATTACATTTAATTTAGAGCGAGTAAATCATAAGCATACTGCTAAAGCATAAAATGAAGGATATGCAATATATTTTTAAAACCATTATTTCAAATATTGATAATAATTCAACAATGTTTATGAACAAATTGGATCTTTTTGCACATAATTTACGAGTACATTACGATAAATGAATACCGTATATTTTCTTTGAATAATTTGACAGTTCGTGTTTTTCAAAACAAAAAAATTCAACATGACTCTTATCATTATTTGAGTTTTCAATTTTTCTTATAGGTTTTACTTTTATTTTACATTTTTATTTTTGCTCAATTAAAATTTTAAAAAGATATCAAAAGTTTATTCTTTAAAAGTCATTATCCGTCAAAATACTATTTTCATTTATTGTCTTCTACAATCCCGCTTATGCGATAAGAGATAATTTTGAAATAAAAAAGTTTGTAATAGAAAATGATTCTCCACCCCCCAGTTACTTATTTAAAAAGTGTATTGTATGTTTGTATATATGTATCTACATACAAAATTATTTATTTTTAAATAATATTCTAACTCATACACATTAATTCTCATTTTTCATTAAAGAATTTCAAAAATTTTGAATGAAATTTTAGCAAATAAATTTTATTATTAATATTTTTTTTTTAAATATATTGTTGCTTTAATTTTATTCTTGAACTTGGCTTTAAATTATCAATAATTAAACAAAAAAAATAATAATTTGACTTGTTTTGCCCTTTTAACTTTTTATAATAAATACACAATATAATACATGTATAGAGGGATCTATTAAGTATTTGTATATGAAAAATATAAAAAGGTACGATTTTCAGTTCCGCTTCAAAAAAAAAATAATAATTTTATAATATTGTATCAATTTATTTTTTACATATTTTTATTTATTTTAAAAAAAAAAACTACTTTTATTTTGTTTGGTTTATTTAAAATATATACATAAGTATAAAATTATAAGCAAAACACTTTTGATAACTAAACATGACGTTAACGTCAATTTCCTATTATAATAGTTTCTTATGCCAATCTTAAGGAAGTAGAATTAAAAGAAACTTGATGTACATGTTATACACATGTACATCAACTTTCTTTTTACGAACTCATTTTAAATATAAAGAATGCCCAAAACTTGTTGTGTTTCCACTCTGGAATAACCATTTACAAATGTACATGCATCTGTCAAAAATTCATTGTAATACCATCGTTTGATTTTTTTATAAATAACCTAAATCTGCATATATTTAAACTTACTATAAGAATAAAAAATTGAAATATCATAATTTTTATAATTAACTTAGTAATTTACTACAATATTTTGTCAGTGAAAAAAATGTAATGACATATATAAAGTTGAAATGTTGAAAATATTATATACAAAAGTAGAAAAATGTTGAATGTGTTGGTAAAGCACTTTAAGAGAATGTATTATGTCATGTGTATTGAGTGTTGAATGAATCTATTGTCAATAATTGTCATTCATAAGTAAGTTCTGCGTCTTTTTTTGTGTTATTTGATTTTTATGCAAACACATACGTATTTAGTTTTCAAATATTAGATAACCATTATTTTGATAATATTGTGCTTATAATTTGGTTGAATTTTAAGAAGGTATTCTATTATTGCGGTTCGGATGTGAACGCTTATTAATATTCTATTAAGAAGACGAATATTCTCCATATTATTGAATTTATCTTTAAAACATTTCGCAAATAAAAACAAAGGTTTTTAAGCAAGAAGAGTAAGTAAGTACAAATTCTTATATTTTTAAATTTGTATGGAACATAGATATCGAAAAAAAACTGACAATTTGACAACTGCGTTTTTCAAAAGTAGTCAGTGTTAATTAAATTTCAATAAATACATACTCGTAAGGTACCAAACAAGGTCAATAATTGTAAAAAGCCATAAACTAATGAAATATTTTTATTATTTTGTAATTTATACTATCATGTTCATCATTATATCCCATAGTGACACCATTTTACAAGTTGAATTGATTATTTTCATAATTTTATTGTTAAATACCAAATTGTGAATTAAATTTTAATATAGTCCAAAAAAAAAAAAACGAAATATGATGAAAAAAAATTAACGAGTTGAATTTTAAGAATTTTTTTTTTGTTACTCAAATATTTTCAAACTTTATTCAAGACTATTCATAAAATTTTTTTCTAATATTTTTTATTTGATACAGAAATTCTTCTTTTTTTTTTGCTTTTGGTTTTTTTTTTACTAATTATCTGTTTCTATGTTTAATTTTTTCAGATTGCATACAGAAATTGAACAATTTTACCATTATAGTTTACCAACACCAGCTGAACATGCATTACGAAATGATGTTGTATTACGTATAGAAGCTGTTGTATTATCGTTATGGCCAAATGCACGCGTTGAAATATTTGGTTCATTTCGTACTGGTTTATTTTTACCTACATCTGATATTGATTTAGTTGTTATAGGATTATGGGATAAATTACCATTACGTACTTTAGAGACTGAATTAATAGCACGTGGTATTGCTGAACCAACATCAGTACGTGTATTAGATAAAGCATCAGTTCCTATAATTAAATTGACAGATCGTGAAAGTCAAGTTAAAGTTGATATATCATTTAATATGGAATCTGGTGTACAGTCAGCTGAATTAATAAAAGAGTTGAAACAACGTTACCCAGTTTTATCAAAATTAGTTCTAGTCCTTAAGCAATTTTTATTACAACGTGATCTCAACGAAGTTTTTACAGGTAAATCATCTATATTGATATATAAAATAATAAAATTCAAGTATTAAGAAATATTTTGATTTTTGTAATTTTAAGGTGGCATTTCTTCATATTCCCTTATCCTAATGTGCATTAGTTTTCTTCAATTACATCCCCGTCAGTTAGATCGTGAACCAGCTAATTTAGGTGTATTATTATTGGAATTTTTTGAATTATATGGTCGTAAATTTAATTATATGAAAACTGGTATTAGTATAAAAAATGGCGGACGTTATATACCAAAAGAAGAATTACAACGTGAAATGATTGATGGTCATCGTCCATCATTATTATGTATTGAAGATCCATTGACACCGGGCAATGATATTGGTCGATCGTCTTACGGTGCATTACAAGTAAAACAAGCATTTGAATATGCTTATGTAACATTATCACAGGCTGTGTTATCTCCAATTAAAGATTTTGCAAGTGATTGTCAAGAGCGTTCAATATTAGGTCGTATTATACGTGTAACAGACGATGTTATTGAATATCGTAAGTGGGTAAAAGAGAATTTTGAACCACGATATATAATACATCCTTCACAAATGACACCTTTAGCAACATTATTAAGTACAAATGGTGCTGTTGCTACAACTGGTGGTCATTTTGTGAGTGGTGGTGATCGTGGTGGAGGAGGGGGAATCGGAGGTGGTGGTGGGGGAGGTGGAGTTGGGCATCATCAAACAAATTTAATACATAGTAATAATAATATGAGTATGGATAATTTTCGACGGCGTGGTAGCACGTCTAGTTTAGAAGCAAGTGAAGAAAGTACTGATAGTGACATTGATTCAAACAATGCGTCTCGAGATATTTCACCAGCTGGAGTTACAAGGGTTGGAAATGTTGGTAATTCTGTTGGAACTGGAATTGTTAATATTGGAAATGTTGGAACTGGTGCTGCCACAGTTTTAAATGCAGCAATCAATGGACCTAATTTAAGACTGCATCCTTTAGGAATTGGTAATGCTAATTCTGTAGGGTTACAGCAACATCAAATGCAACAGCAACAGCAGCAACAACAACAACAACAGCAACAACAACAATCTGATAATATTATTTACATTACAGGTACTGCTGTTGGAGGACGATCAGCAAATCTTTCTGATCGTCATAATAGTGAGGACAGCCATAATAGATCGAATAATGAAGATCGAAAAAGTTATCGGCAAAGAATTGCTGCTACAGCTGAACCAATTGCTGTTGTAAGTTAATAAGAAAACATTAGAAATTTTAAATAATTTTATATTTTTGATAAAATTTTAAGCATACATAACTTTAACTATTATTTTCTAGATTGATTTAACAAATTCACCCCCAGATAATATAACGCCACCATCATTATATAAACGACATTATAATAGAAACTCACCGCCAAATAATAATGGAAATAAAAATTCCCACCAGCAAAGATCAGCTGCCTCACAAACTACTGCACCATCAGCGATGACAAGTAGCAGTTCATCAACATCATCACTTACAACGGGTGGTAATAATGGTGGTGGCAATGGAAATGGCCGATCAAACAAAGCAAGCCGTCGTAATAGTAGTGGTACAAATTCTAGTTTAAATTCAGATAATATGCCTAAATATTATGTTGCACCTGGTAGTAATATTAATATAAATAATCCTCCATCGCAACAACAACAAAATAATATTGTTAGTGGTAATAATAGCGGTAGTAATAATTCATCAATATCAAATTCTTTACAACAACAACAGCAACAGCAACAACAACATCAACAATCACATCAACAACAACAAAAGAAATCAAATTCAACGAAACGTAAAAAAGCAGTTGCTATGCAAACAGAAAAAAAAATCAATACCAATAATCAACAGCATCAAGGAAATTCATCATCTAACAATACAATGAATATTAGCGGTAGCAGTAATAGCAGCAGCACGAGTAGCAATTGTAGTAATAACAGTAGTAATAATAATAGTAGTAATAATCAAATTAATAAAGATGGTATACAAAATCGATGATATCAATGAAATATCATTGATGAAATTTATAGACATTTAGGTTAGGTAAAAAGATTAACGCAACCATATTTTTTTTCTATTTGTAAAGAACTGTTATTATATAGTAAGCAAAAAAAATTAATTAAAAAAAATCTTTATTAATTTAACAAAGTCAAACAAATTCTGAAAATTATAAATAAACTTACAAAAATAAAAAAAAAAAAACAAAAAACAAAAATCACAAAAAAAAGAAAAAAAATGAAAATCTATGAAAAAAATCAAATAAATAAAAAATAAATTCAAAAAAATAATGTAAAATAGATAAAAATAGCAAAAAAAAGTTATTAAATTAAATAAAAAAGAAATCATTGGAAATGAGATTAGGAATGAAAGGAAATTCTACTTTAAGGTTAGTTTTCTACCATATTTTTTGAAATAATGATTTTTGAAATTCACAAGTTTATAAATCATGTTTACTATTTATTATAAGAGGTAAGAGCATTTTGACTTATAAGTCAAACCTACTAAATTATAAATTACTTATAAATTTATATATCGTTAAGATTATGTTAAATGAATACTTTTGATACTATCAGTATCAATGGCTCTTAAAAGACCAATAGAGTATTGTAATTGTTTAAAACAAACAGGTCTGTGTCATATCCCTTTGAACGAAAGAAATACATATTTGGAAATGAAAAATAATATAAATCTTTGAAATTTTTGAAATGCATATTCCAACAAATTATACTCTAAAATTCTCCTTTATTATGTATGTAAAATAAAAGACAAAAAAGTTCTAAAATTTTAATTTTTTTTTTTCAACAATTTATTTAAGAATTGCTCAGTAAATTGTTTACCAAAAATTTACTTTAAATTAAATGATTGAACAATAATTTATATTCAATAATTATTAATTTTTTATAGCCATAATTTAAAATCTTCAACATATTGTTTTCAAAATAAAAACAAATAAACAATCTATAAAGTTAAAAGAAAGAATTAAATTTTTTCTAATGTTAAAATTTTGAAAAATATTGAAAAATTTTGTATTTTCCATAATGTAAACAATATTTACCAATTTTTATTAATATCTTTGCAAAATTTGAAACCATTCAAAATACATTTCATTTCTAAATATTTCCAGAAAAAAAATTAATTTTAAATTAATGATTGTTCGAAATTCTGAACCCTTTGATAATATTAATAAAATTTTCAGCTCAAATCATTTTCATATCAAATTTTAATCCCAACATAAATTTATTCCTTTTAACATGATATTACAAAAATAATTTCACAGTATTAATAATGTAAAATGTTTCTTATATTCATCGTCTTCATTGTATTTATTAAAAAAATAATAGATATTAATTTTCGCAGTTTGAAAATATCTTAAAAGTTGATTCTATTAATTTTTTCTATTATAAATAAAATCACTAGAAGAAATGGTATCATATTATTAAAAAAGAAATCAGGCAATTGCAGTGATATTTTGATATTAAGGTTTTTTCTTCAAAATTTATTTTCTTCCACAATTTTTAGGAAAAAAGATAGTTTCACATGTTTTGCATGAATTCACGATTTTTGTTTTGTAGCGGTTGCAATATTCACCAATTTTTAATAATAGTTTGAAAATAATTGAAGTAACAAGATTTATTAACAAACGTTTAATGTATAAGAAAAGTTCTAAACATGTAAAACTTGTTTACTTTGTGTGTAAAATTTAAATTCTGCAAATTTATGTATATTAGTTACAGTTCTTATTAAGGGTATTTGCCGAAAGTAACTTATTATTTTGCTGGAATTATTTCTAAAACGTATAATATAATTTTCCTAGTTATAAAAGAATTATACTAAAAAAATAAATATCAGAATATCACAAAAAATTGTTTTCTCATAATTGTAATATGATAATTTTAATATAAACCTTTTCTTTTTTTGTTTTTATATAAAAATTTCTTACACTAACATTAAAAAAAAAAGAAATAAGTAATAATCAAAAAAATGTGTATATCAAAACAATAAAATTTTCGTTTTAGTGTTTTTTATGATTTAAATAAAATTTTGAATAAAAAATGTAATTATAATCAACAGAACATAAACAAAAATATCCAAAAAAAAGAAAAAAACTATTTTGTTAACAAATTATACATATATATTTATTTTCAATCTTAGTTGCACAGAATGCGAAAAATGAGGAAATTCTCATTCACATTGTAAATTATCCTTAAAATTCAATCGTGTTAGTTATATTAATATCGCTTATGCAAAAAAAAAGTTAACTTAAGTCAACAAAAGAGTAAAAAATATCTTTAAAAATTATATTGATAAAATTTACTGACCTTAATAATTAAACAAAAATTATTTATCATATAAGGAAGAGAAATATTGTATAGATCGATAATTAATTATAATCAATAAGTTCCATTCTGTGTAATAAAGCATTAAAAATAAATTATTATTTTTTTTATTAAAATATAAAGTTAAACATTAAAAAATTTACGAATAAATATAATATACTCATTTTCTCAATTCATATTATGAAGTTATGTAAATGTGAAAATAAAAACTTAAAATTAAGCAAAAAAGAAGAAACGTTCTGTAAATTATAAATTTATTAATGATTAATTGAAAGGTGAATTTTATTATAAAAAGTAGGAAAAAAAAATTAACAATAAAGTAAATATTTTTTAAAAATAAAACGCCACAAAAATTACAATTATTAATTTAATTTTAAATGGATTTCAAAATAAATTTTTATCAAACGATTATTTACTTTAAGAGAAAAAAATTTTGTAATTATTAAACATTCACTAAATATTTAATCTAGTGAATTTTTTTTTAACAATTTTTTCTGTCGGAAGTAAATATAGTTATTAAACAAAAAATAATTAAGATAATAGTCTATCAACTTTTAATCCATATATATGTTTAGAAATGTCTAATTTTAAAAATTATTTTATCTTTATATACTTATTGTATTTAATGTGCAAATTTATCATGTCACATAAATACAATTGTGTAAAAAAGCAGATTGAAATATGAATAATATGTATGTATTTTATGAATTACATTTTGAAAAAAAAAAATTAATATAAAAGAGAATATTTAAATATATACCGAGATATATGTACATATAAATATGTGTAAACCTTTTTATTTTTAAATGTAAAGGTACTATATCAAATGTTTATGAATATAAAATATAACTTAAATACCTAAATTATTAAATTTATAAAAATTTATTATTTTAGATAGTAACATTTTTAACAAAGTAAAATGAAAGAAAATGTTGCTATTAAATTCCAATGAAATAAAAGAGTGTAATTAAGGGAACTAATTTAAATTAAAGGATATTAAAATCAAATTAAAAATAATCATAGATATTAGAAGGAGTAAAAAATATAGAGTACATAATTTGGAATGTTTAACATGTTATTTAAATAACACATAGATTTATAATGAAATATTTCAACTATATAAGAAAAACTCGAAGTATGTATGAAAAATCTTATAAAATTTGAAGATAGATTTTAATACTTAGAAATATACATAATAAGAGATTAAAAACTTAAATAAAATGTACGAGAAATTTGAATTGTATCATAAAATCTGGGAATATTTGTTCTTTATTTTTTTGTACTTCCGACTTTAAAAATTAAATTTTATTTTAATATTATATTTTACAGTGACACAACAATGTTTAAATTTTAATTTGTTTAAAGAAAAAAGTTTATACCGAAATAAATTTCAATATTATGATTTTTCTGCAAATAAAAATGTAAAAAAATTAACAAATATTAAGAAAGAATTTGTAAAATAGCAGTAAAACTTTTTTTATATTAACGATATTTTTCAAAAATTAAGTTACAATTTTTAACATGAAAAGAAAAAAAATTAATTTTAAATATGCATGCAAACTTTATAAATTTGTAAGAATCTTTTTTTTTTTGTTTGTTTGTTTTGCCAAATGAAAGTCTAAACAATATGGGAAAATGATTAGAAGCAGGAAAAAAGATTTTATTATTAGTGGCGTATTAATTTTTTTTAATAATAGATAATAAGATCATTATTGATTAAAATAGAACGTAACATTTAGTCTGAGCATGATTTGTTATTCAAGTAACCATTAAAATTTATTAAATTACTAATAGAGTGCACATTCACAAAATAAATTGTTATCGCAATTAAAAACATTATCGTTTTTCAAACTAAAGATGAATGAATGTAATTATTAAGCCAGTTCATAAATTTTAATATTATAAAGTGTTAGAAAATCGTAAATGAATTTTAACAAACTTTTTTTTTTTCTTTTAATTGTGCATTTTTTTGTTCCTTCGAACTCATGCACTTCCTAAATTCATTTTATATTTAATTGAAATCAATTTAAAAATTTTTACATTTTTAAAATAATTAGTTACCAATATATTTTGTGAGTTGTTACAAATAAGTTAGTATTCTGTAATTAACTTCAATATTTAATTAAAATTATTCGGTAGTTTTGAAGTTCCTCCTATACCGGATATAAAAATTCAAAATAATAACATTATCAATTTTTCTCTTAGTCTTTAAAAATAAATACTAATGATTTTCTTTTAACCTTTTCTATTTGTTAAGTTGTTAATTTTTATAGCAACTTTTTGACAAAACTTAATTCTGCTTTTTGTAATTGATTTCAACGAAAGCTTTTTTTTTTTTTGCTTTATTTGGGTAACAATATATGATTGTGTCGATTACATACTTATCAAATTTTATTTAAATCTATTACTGGTCTGGTATGCTCTTCACATTTTCGGTATTTTTAATTTGATTTTTAATTAAACCAAATAATCAAAATTTATGGCCTCATGATAAGTAAAAATTGCAATATTTTATTTACAATCATCAAAAATTGTAACGAACGATAAATTTTGAAAATCTGAAAAGTAAAATCGGCGCTGGAATTAGTTATGCTTAGAAAAAAACGCAATTTAGTTAAAATTTCATGATTTTCAAAATATTGCAAAATAATGTCAAATTTAAAAAAAATACTAGAATGCTTGAACGAAATTTATTGTGAATTTTATTGCAGTAATATAGAAATCAAATTTTTTGCAGTTTGAAATACTGAATTATAGTTTTATATAGACGTAAAGAAAAAACAAAAAATGTAAATTGTATTGTAATCATTTGATATACAAAACCACCTACGTACTTTATAAAAATAAAAAACAAATATTTTTCTTAAACATATTTTCTAGTTAACATACCATAATACTTATCTGTAATCCGTTTCGAAAATCAATTTCAAAATTTGTAATAGCAAATTATTTTAAGACATTTTAACATTCTCACACCAATTATCACAGGAATTTTTTAAAATATACAGTAAGTTTATTTTCAAAATTTCCAAAAAAAATAATAATTAATTTTATCACGATGAAATTCCAATGATTACCAAGAGGCCCAGAACAACAATTTTACCGTACAAAATCTAATTAACATAAATATTCGATAAGCAATGAAATACTAAATAAGAAAAGCTAGAATAAAATACAATTCGAAAAAAAAAAACAAAAATAATTTAATTGTAAAATTAATTACATGTGTTATTTGAAGATAATACATGTGACAGAGTCTGGTGATGATGGATAAATTATATTGTTGTAGTAAAATATGCTATTTAAATGATCTATTAAATTTCCTAATTCTTGCATCAGTCAAACAAACAGAATTTTCCATTGAAAATATTACATATTTTTGAAATTGCATTTTATATTTACTTTTCCTTCATATTTTATTTTAAGTAAAGACATAACAAATACAATTTCCTTGTTTGAAACACAATTAGTATAATAAGGTGATTATAAGAACATAAAGAAATTTTAATATACTTTGTAATAACAAATCACTGAACAATCCCAGTGATTCTCATTTTGTAATTGAACAAAATTAATGTTTTTTAAAAAAAAATAATATTACTTTTAAATTTTATAAATATCACACTTTTATGTATGTTTAAATGAAACTCATTATTAAATATTATTCGCATTTTTTTTAATAGCAATCCAATGCGTACAACGCACAAATTTTACAATATTGCAAAATCGATCAATGTTAAAAAAAATGTTAAAATTTTACAATCTTTATAAATTTGCATGCTCCATTTCATTAATTAAATAATATATCAAAATAAGAAATTTATTTTGATTAATGTACTTTTATTATTTCAGAAAAAAAAATGATATTGTGTTATGGTATTTTAACTATGATTATTCAACATAAACTCTGATACATATATAAATTTGTTATGTAATATTTATACATATTTATATTACTTGTAATACTTTATTACAAAACTTTTTAGCTATTTAACTAAAATTTTAATTATTTTTACCCTTTATATATATCTAAAATAAATGTTATTAACAAAATTTTAATTTTAAATTTAATATATGTAATTGAACACGTGAACGATATTAAAAATATTAATTTCCAAATTGTTTGAAGCAAAATTTTTTCTCCCTACATTAGAAATATTGTTTTTAATAATTTATCTATCTAGCGAAACTAAATCAAAATAACATGGAAAATATAATAGAAAAACTGCATTATTTGCTTTATTAAATAAGGCATATAAAATCTAAATCTTATCAACTTACATTTTTATAAAATATGTTTTTGATATATATGTATACCATTTGCATTCTATAAAATTGATTAAATATTTTATATTTTCAAGAATGAATATTATAACAAAAAAAAAACATTTTATATTTCCATTATTTTGTTAAAATTTAAAGAAATAAAAAAAAATTTAGTTATTTCATTGCTCCATAAGGGTCCGAGACTTGAATCGTTATGTTTGTATTATATAAAATGTCTATATTGTAATATCTAAATTGAAAACTAAAAAAAAAAATTATTGAAGAAAATGTAAATTTAAAGAAAAATATTTAAGAAAATCAAAATGTAATATAAATAAAGAGGTAAAAATATTAAATAGATAAAATAGTAAAATAAAAGTTTTTTCTTTTTGATTTTGTTTTGTTTTTTTTTTTTTTTTTTGTGAAAAATAAAGTAGAATTTAAGTAGGATAAAGAATGAGATATTGAAAATAATTAAGTGAGAATCACAAAAACAAATAAGTAAACAAAAAAATGAAACTTAAGAATATTTAATTATTAATATTAAAAAAAAAAACAAACAACAATGATAAAATAACATAAAAGATTTTTAATTAAAAAGATAAATATAAAAGAAAATTTGATTATAATTATATTTGAATTAATTTAAAAATAATTATTACTATGATTATTATATTAGTTATTAATATTATTATAATTTTTTCCTTTTTAAAATTACTTATATGTAATTATTTAAATTAAAAGTAAACAAAAAAACAAAATAAAAAATCTTTAAATATATTATTATAAAAACAAAATTAGAATTATACTAAAAAAAAATAAGAAAAATCAACAAAAAAAGTTTAAAAATTATTTAATAAAGAAAAAAATATCGCTTTAAAATGCTAAATTGGCGATAAAAAACAAAAAAAAAAAAACGTAAAAAAAACAAAAAATACTTATGTCTTTCATTTAAAAATTTATTTTCAATTTTATTTTTTAGCTTTCAAAATATAAGGACGACAAGGCTTTTTATTCTAAAATATAGGACGTCTACCAAAATGTAAGCTTTTGGATGTCAAGCTTGAATTCTACTTTTTACTAAGCATTTTGGCCTTTGGGTAACAAAACTATTTTCTAAAATCTCAATCTATTGTTGTTACGCTTTTTGAAGGTAAAAAGAGGATCTCTACAAATGCTAACATTTTAAAATAAATAAAATTCTTAACGTAACTTTGTTCTTTTAGACACAGAACTTAGGTAAAATTTTATTTTATTGAAATCTATCAAGTTCATTTGAATTTGACTATGACATTTTGGTAAATATTACTAAAATCAGAAGGATTTTCGATAATAATAAGTTCCAACTTAGATCTTAATATAAAACATGTTCGATTGATCAAAACTACCAAACCTTGAAATGGAATGTTCTAAAACATTTTTAACTTTCATTTCTAATGCATTTTTAAAGACTTTTTTAAATTCACAGGAAATCCTATAGAAAAATCTAATATATTATAATCTTAAAAAGTTAACTAGTTACTGTAGATCTAAATCAATGCAGATTTAATTTAGAACTTTCAGTGTATAGTTGAATTATCGAAAATCCTTTCACTAAAATCAATATTCCATCTTTTTTTGAGATTATACCAAAAAAGTCTAGTTAACGTGAAATTTTGATTGTCCCATAAAGTCTTGTGATAATTATGATAAACAATTTGCAAAGATGATTTTTACTTTAGAGAAATAATTACATTGTTTGAAATTTTAATGTCAAAATGAAATTTCAAAATAAAAATTTTTTTTTTTAAATGATTTAGAAATTCGTTTAAATAAGAACAATATTGAATTACTATTTTGATTTTCTTGGCTACTAAAATTCAATTCAAAGGTATTGTTAAAAAAACCAATTAAACCCTAATATAAAATTCTTACGAGTTTTTTTAACATTTAAGACTTCTCAATTTTCTGTTGTGTGTTTTAAACAGATTTTTACAAGTGAGAAGAACGTGAATCACTATCATACATTTGTTATAATGTAATTTTCGAGTGAGAAGAATTTTTCCGTATTTCGTATGTATCTCATTTTTCTCAAATGTGTACAAAATTTATTCATTTACTTTGTTTTCGAAGGTCACAGCTTCAGTCGATGATTTAAGAATAAAATACAAAATTTGAAAAAATAAAATATCCATTAGAGAAAAGGCGAATTCTGATTTAAATTGAATAAAAAGTGAGATGAAAAAGTGAGATACACGATTGGGCTGCAAATGTAGATCTTCTAAAGTTTTAAATTCTTACTTTAGAAACTAACTTGGCCGGAAAATCGGAAAATTTTAGCATGTACAAACAACAAGTCAATCTTAAAATTTCTTGAAGTCCCTGCATAAGAATTTTCAAAAAATTGAGTGACGGGAAATTTTTGTACTTCAATAATCATTAATCTAAAAATTGTCATTAAGAAAAAAAGAAAAAAAAAACAAAATTACTAAATTGATAAAATCTTTAAACTTTTGTACAAATTTTGTTTAGAGTTTATGAGAGGCCAACAGTTCTTCTCAAAAAATCAAAATAAAATGATGTTACTTCCAATATTTGTAATAATTTTAAGTTTTTTTAATTATTCTAGGAGTGTTGGTCAAACAATTGACGAGAGTAGTTTCAAATATTTTTAAATCACTTAAAGAAAACTTTTTCAGTTAATATTTTTTTAGAAAAAATTTTTTGTTTATATTTTATCGGTTCTATTAACCGACCGAGTGTTGGCCATGTTGAAGTTGAGGATATTAATGAAAATTATTGCACACATCTAATATACGCCGAATTGGGAATTAATAATGAAGGTCAAGTTGGTTCGTTAAAACCTAATCTTGATTTTAGTACTAACGGTGGAAAAGGTAATATTCAAAATATTCTTTTAATATCATTTCAAACTTTAAGGTCCGATTCATTTTTGGCTTTTTATCAAAAATTGTAAACAATAAAATATATGTAAATAAGATTAAATTATAGAACTAATACTACATTATACATTTTTAAGATAATCTTAGAAGATTTAATAAGAAAAAGAAGTATAAAACAAATTTGAAAACACTTGTTGGTATTGGAGGTTGGTCTCAAAGTTCGGAGCGATCCTCGAAAATATTTGCAGATGAGAAAAAAAGAAAAGTATTTATTGAAAGTGTTTTAAGTTTCTTGACGAAATATCAATTTGATGGTATTGTTTTGCATTGGGTTTTTCCTGGTATTTTCGGTGGGAATCCAAATTTAGACAGATTCACTTTAACAAAATTACTAAAAGAATTAAAAACAGAGTAAGTAAGTTCAAAAATATGTTATATGAAAATTTGAAAGTTCAAAAAATAATTTTATTTTTAGATTTCAAAAGAAAAATTTTATTCTTGCTTTAACTGGCCACTGTTACAATGACTATATTGATAAATCATATAATGTAAAAGAAATAGTAAAAATTGTTGATTATATTATTTTATACTCATATGACTTCTATATGGCAAATGCAAAAGCAGAACATATCGGAATTGCAAGTGGTCTATATTTGCATCCAAAAGAAAATAACAAAAGATTAAGTACAGATTCTGCCGTAAATTATTGGTTACTTCGAGTTGGAAAAGAAAATACACATAAAATTATTATGGGTATACCATTTTTTTCTAGAACATTTACCTTAAAATATTCTAATGAAACTACACCTGGGGCACCACATATTGGTGTTGGAAAAATAACAGAATATTTTCAAGAAGCTGGTCGTATGAGTTATATGGAATTATGTCAGAGATTTCTTATAAGATCATGGTCCGTAAAATGGGAACCAACACAAAAAAATCCATATGCATTTAAAGATGATCAATGGGTTGGATTTGAAAATGAAAGAAGTTTAAAATTTAAAGCAAAATATGTAATTGATAAGAATTTAGGTGGTGTTTCTATTTTTGATATACTAGATGATGATGTGAAAGGATTATGTGGTGAAAAATATCCACTTTTGAAAGCATTGCATAATCATTTAAGAGTTAAAAATGAATCGAATTCAAAATATAAAATCAAATCTAATTTGTGTTTGTATAGCGAAACAGAAATTTTAAAAGTGAATTAAGGTGATGTGAAAATAAAATTTTATTTTTTTTTCTGAATTATTCAGCTTTTACTAAGAATAAACAGTTTTTGCTATTGGCATCATTTATTTACGGTTTAATTAAGCACAGATAGCAAATCTATTTCTTACTGAATTTGATTTCAATTTTCTATTAACAAAAATAAGGCTTTTTCCAATTTGTCATAATATATGAAGGTATGTAACGTTTGTATTTTATATATGTAATTTTTATATAATAATACTTAAGCCATTAGTAGAGGTCAATAAAATTGATATGATTGTCGGGTAAATTCAATTTAAAAATAAATAAATCAGATTATTTCAAGACTAAGGGCTATTAGATTTTAATAATATGTTTAAAAATCGACTCCTTCTTACTTTTATATATTTATATACTTTTATATTTATTGTAATACATTAATATATGGATTAATTATTTACACATACATATACGTACACGGTATATACATACATATATTAAAATGTGCTTACCCAAATTATGTTGAAGAATATAATGAAAATTTTAAACAATCTTGACATTTAATTAAAGATTTTAATATAAATAAAACATTAAATAAGAGCTCATATATTGATTAGAATGATTAACAATTAAAAAGAAAAAAAAATGTTAGATATAGCTATTAGTATGTAAATAAATAAATGCACACCTAGTTATGTTAATATTACAGATAATGATAACTTAATATCCTCCTCAAAGTAAAGTTGCAGAAATGACAAAGTTGGGTTTTCTCCTATTTGGTTGGCTGGTTAAAGTGGCCAATGCAGCAAATGTGCGTTTTGCTACGGTTATGTGATCACAAGTCGACATTGAGCGTACGAATGCAGGTGGCTTGTCTAAGCCACCCGGTTCTCTTCAGAAATCTATCTATATTCCCGATGCTTATCTTCGATATTTCGTCTAATCAATCTGGGTCCGCCCAGGGCCGGACACTCGCAGAGATGATTTTTATTTTACCTTTATTAATTTTTTATTTTATGATAGGATAGTATACCTATACATTACATATGAAGACTTTTTGATTGTGATTTTCAACATAATTCAAACCCGACTACATAATTATGTGCAATTTAATAAAAAAAAATTTAAACTCAAAAAAATCTTATTTGCTACTGAGACCGCTCAATCTCTTTCACCTTAAAACGGAGTAATAAAAAAAAATTATAGTAAGTATTGAAAACTAAATTGGAGCCCGATATATTTTTGTAACAAATTTAATATTTTTGGTATAGCTAAAAGATAATCTTATGTGAAAATAAATATACAAATATGGAAATTTTAAAATAATTAAATTTTTAAGTTCAATTCAAACACATTCTATAAAAATAAGTCTTCAAATTTTCTGTTAGGCATACCAATTGAAAGCATAAAATAACAGGAGAGTCATTCAGTTCAATCCGCATCTCATTCTTAAAATAATTAGAGTTATCATTGTAATATTTTGGAGTATTGGGCTGGTTCACAATATTGTAGATAACCATGAATCAGTTTCTTACGTCATAGAGTTTACTAGGTAGGTGACGTGCCTTCTGTAATCGTTGTAATATTAGGCCCTCTTATATGAAATATAAACAAAAATTAAAGTTTTTGGGAAATATAGAAGTTCATATTACCCACACCATGACAGATAAGTAAATAATATGTTTCATATGATTGTAGATAAGAAAAAAAAACTCTATTCAAATAAATAAAAGAAATAATATTTTATAACGCTACTTTTCGAAAAAAAAAAGCCGTTGTTTCACAAATCAAATTTTAATTTTTCAAAATAAACAACATTATATCGTAAACAACCCGTTCGAGACCGTGTAACAATTGCTATATTCAATAGAAGCACATCAAAAGATTCTTGTCACATAATAAGCTGTGATGTTACAAAGTATGTATATGAATCCATATAATCTGAAACCAACTATTCGTCAAAATCCCGAAATTTTTGAACTAATATGAAAAAAAGTTAAAGAAAAGTGCTGTTATTTTTTGTTCCGTATATTTATATTTACATATAAATTTTTGTAACATTTATACATAATACGCTCCATAATTTGTTTGTTTGGTTTTTCAAATATTTATTTTTTTTTTTTTGTCATTTATTTGAATTAAATTTTCATTTATTTTATATATTAAAATTAAATATATAGTGTTGTATACATACATGTATGTAATATAGACCTATTATTTATTTATATTGCTAATATACTATAATATAACACAAACGATTAAAATGTTTTTTAAATAATTTTTAAATTTAATATTCTGTTATACGATAAAACTGTAAATTGAATTACGAAATAATTAATTATACAAATTATGAATTCAAATTGAATATTTTATATAAAATTCTTAAATATTTGATTAAAAATATATTAAATTTTACAAAAACATAAAAAATTTGTTTTTTAGCAATTCAATTATCAATAATAGACCTAGATACATATATATATGTATGATTTTATGGTATTCGTACAGATATTAAAATTTTTTTTTTTTTTTTCTGCATAATATTCAATATTAAAACATTATTTGAATATGAATACATTTAAATATAATTACATTTATATATAAAATATCATAACTATTTTTTTTCCTTTTTATACTATTTTATTGTTATATTAATTTAATTTATTTTCATAATTTTGAATTTTATTATTTTCTTAATAAATTATATTTAAAATTGACTATCTTTTATAATACATAAATTTATGTATTTGTATATTTATCTACACATGTATATATATATTTTAAATTTATTTTTATATATACATATACATATATTAGTATTATATATTAGTAAATATAAAAAATAAAAGAAATGCCATAAAAAAATATGTCTGCATATAATAGCGCTACACATAAAATTGTTATTTTAATTAAAATCATTTAGGAGTATAGATTAATAATGTTATATAAAATTTTGCATAAATTTACTTATCTTACATAACCAATTTTAATGCAACAGGTGGGAAACGTTTTGTATTACAACTATAATTTTTATTTTTTTGTTTAAATAATATCCGTGCAGTGAAAAAGAAAAATATTTTAGTATTTAAAATTTAATACGAAGCAAATTATTTGCATACAAAAATATTTCTAATTACATGATGATATTCAATATTTAATTTTAATATTCAGTCAATATTGAATTAATTTACATTGAAAGCGACAATTACTTTGTTTTTAAGGAAGTAGTGTACTCAAAGGGAACAACTTGGGATTTTATTCTGAAAGTGTACATTACATATAATATTGTAAGGAATACGGTGAAAACACATTTTTATTTATTGTAGAAAAATTATAAAATATGAAATAGAGAATGCACCATGGAAAAACAATAAAATAGAAAAATAATCCATACATCAATGAATTAAAATCTTATGTTAAATGTGAATCGAATTATTATGAATATTGTTTGAAATATGTTATGAATATTCAGACTCATTAAATTCCATAATTTAAATCAAATAAACAATTTTATATACAAATTATTTATAAGGTAAAAAATAGTATAAATTTTATTTAACTTAAGCATTCTTTAAGCAGAAAAACAATAACATCAATTTGTGAAAACTAAATTTTTCAATATTAACAATAATGAGTATTAAATTATATTTTTATAGACCTTTAAGTATATTGAATGCAAAATTATTTAAATGTGCATAAAGTTTTAAATTTATTATGTCATTTATATTTTGGGGTCTTTGAAACTCTTGAATTTTGAAATACAATAGTTCATATTAGATATTATTTTATTATTCAGATTACTTTGAATTTTAGAGAAGGTCAGAACTTTATTCCAATCAAAATTTGATAGTTCTTGAAATATCCTGGTAATTTTATGTTTCAAATGTTTTTCCAAATATTTTTTCAAGAATCCATAAAGTTTACATGATTTTAATGAGCTTAATATTATATTTTTAAAGGTGCTAATAGAATTTCAAAAAAAAAAAAAAATAAATAAAAACTATGGCTTTATTTTATAAAAAAATTCATAATTTAAAATTTTATCTTTATGTATACATTTAAAAAAAAAATGCTGGTTTTTATTTTATTAAATATAATTATAAATATAATTATTTTATTAAAATATAATTACATATTACATATTATAGTTTTCTTTTCTTTTTTCTACATAAAATATATGAAATAACATTTTATTAATTTTATTTAACTGGTTTCATTTATAAATAATGTTGTACGTATTTTTATTTTAAAAATTTTTTTTGTATGACGTGTTAAAGGAAATAGTGGTCCTCCGAAGCATTAGCTTTTTGTGTTTTATATAGATCTGCTTACATTTTGTGTTATTTTTTTTTTGCAAATTATTAATGGGGGGGATGAAAAAATAGTTTAATGGTGTTTAATTGGAAAAAATAATTTTGCTTTTACACAGCTGAAGAACAAACAGTAGGTTTTTTTTTAAGGTGATACATAAATTTTAAAATACACTTTACATCACTTATTTTAAAATACACTTTACAAGTTTATTATTTTGTTTTACATTTTTAGGTACGAAAAATTTATATATGGAATTATAGTTATTTTAGCAAATCAATAAATTTTTTATATTTCTGAGTGTATTAAATAAATTTTTCATAAATTTTTTCATAAATTTTTCAAATTTAACGAGCCTTGTTCCGTATTGTAGTCAAACTGTCTCTACATCAATTTTGTTTTAATTTAATAATGTATTCAAATTGAAGTAAGTTTTTATTTAAATTATTTAATTAATAGATCAAATATATTTTTCTGTATTTTTAAATTGGAAATTATAACCAAAAATTTGAAAATTCATTAAGATAAATTTTAAAATATTAAAGTGTTCCAATTAAACTTATGTATATAAAATGTTATACATTATACATATATATGTATGTAAATAAGTCTTAGCAAAAGTGTAACAGTTTAATAAAAAATTAAAAGCAGTTTACAGAAAAATTAAAAATTCTTTAATTTTTTCTTTTTATTTTTTTAAAATTCCTAACACTTTTCAGATAATTGTGTAAATTGCAACTTTTATTTTATACTATGACAACTATAATTTTATTTATTCAAACAATAACACATTTTTGCCTTCTTTTACAAATTTATACTTATTTGAATTATAATGTATGTGTACCTATATTATAAACATATATTTTTAATTGGTTAAGAAGTCTAAACTCTAAAACACATATTACATTCTTTATTTATTGTTTATTTTGTTATTTTAAACATTTTAAGCTTTAACAAGATTAATTTCAAATGAATATTTAATGAAAAAATTGAACTGAAATCCAGAAATGATTAACTTGTTATGAACTAATTAATTTATAACTGAATTTCGTGATAGTATGGTGATTATCTAATCGAAACGTAATTAAATTCCAAATGCAAATGCGAAATTCATTGAAACTCAAAATGAATTTTTTATAATAAAAGCGTAATTAAAAAAAATTTCAGACTTTCTTTTACATAGAACGAACATTTTTAATAAAATTTTTATTGATTAAGTATAATCATTCAAATATAATTTAGTAACTATTTAGTTTTATAAGTAAACAGAAACTGAAAAAAAAACACTTATTTCTTGCTGAAGCTGTAAAATGTTCAAGTGATTGAAAATCCTATACCTGCGGATAAGGATTTGTTTTACATAATAATCGGATGTCGATACTATTGGGTATGAATTTTATAAGCTTATTTATTCCGCATATAATATCTATATATTTAACAATTTTAAAAATTTTTTATACACAATGAATAATTTATAAAACCAATTCAAAAACTGTGCACTTATCCTTTTTAATATTACAATTGTCTAATAATTAAAAAACAAAATGCTTGTAATAATGAGATTTTCGATAATTCAGTACTAACTTAGGTCTTAATAATATAAAGCACATCCGATAAATCTAAACTACAAAAATTTGCAAAAACAGCATGTTCAAAAATGACAGTTGTACTTAAGATTTTAAATGAAGTTTTAAGTTGTTTTTATAAATACTGCAAAAATATTATAAATTAAATGAAAATATAATAGAAAAATGTTGAACATTAAAGAATTACTCGCGTATATTAGAAATCTGTAAAAGTAAAATATGTATTCAGTTTTCCTTTGTACTTATATGTGAAAGGACTTTAAAGATTTAATTTAGAAATTTCAACGCAAGTTCTGAATTATCGAAATTTCGTAATCTCTTATTATAATTTTCAAAACAAATAGATTATTTAAAAAAAAATATCATTTACCAAAAAAAGAAGTAACAATATTAACGAAAAATTAAGAATCAATTCACAATAATTTTAATTTCCATTTGTTTTTTTATTTATTGAAGATAATTTAAGTAATTTTAAAATTTTTTTCAATCAAGATGTGTTTGACCACAGGTACAGAAATTTCCTTTTTTTCTTATTTATTTATCTTAATAAAATTTTATTTGGTTTTTATTTATTTTTACTTATTTTTTTCCGTTTTATACACATTATAATAGTAGAAAATAATAATGTAAAATAATTTTCAACTTCATTATTAGTTTTTATACAAAAGAAAAAAAAATATTTTTTTAAGATTTATAATATTTATTTTATGTATTTTACTATCAAATATTTCTATATTATGCTTTTCTTTATTCTCATTTAAAAAGATAAAAAAGTATCAATATATCCTATACCTTAGATATTTCATTTACAAAATTTGTTTTATATTATATTTATTTTTTTTAAATGATAAAAAATAATTAATTTGAAAATCCCTTATATATCTTTTTTTTTGTTTTTACATGAAAGATTATTAAATTTATAATACATTTTTGTATAACATTTTAATAATTTTTCCTTTTTTTTTTGTTAAAAATTCCTATTTAATTTTCGTTTACATTAAAATAAAAAAAGGATATAAAATTAGGAAACAAAAAAAAATTGTTGCGCTTTAAAATTTTGAAATCAATTTTTCATTATTCCTTCCGTTTTAGATTTTACGTCTGTGTACAACTTATTCCAAACTTATGAAAAAGTTTTAATAAGTTCAACTAAACCAAAAGTATAATGAAAATCTAGTTTTTTTTGTGTTGACAAAAAAATAAAAAGCAAATGTGCTTAGGCGTTTTTTTTTTCTTATTTTTCTTTTTTTTATTCGTGTTACATACTTTTAAAATTAAAGGAAAATATTTTATCATATTAATTAAATATAAATTTTGTAATAGTTTTTTTTATTTGTTTTTTCAATAGTTAAATTAAATTGAATCCTAGGCTTCTGTTTCTGCACCTTTTAATCGCAGTCTTGCAAAATCTTCAAATATAATATCATCATCTTGACCAGGATCATCACTAAAATGACAAATAAAAAAGTAGGATGTTAATATTTGAAATAAGAAGCTTGTAACTTAATTTTAATTAGTGTTTATGTGCATTTTGTATAGAAATTTATAGATTATTGTTTGTTATTTATCAAAAACAAAAATTTAATTTAAAATAAAGCATTTAATTTACCCATCAAGTTGTATCAAGTTTTGAGTTGGGACTTCGCCTGTATCTTGTGAACCACTTTGTCTATCTACACTCTGTCTTGAAGAACGATCTGATAATATCGGATTTATGTCCTCTTCTTCAGGTTTAGGATGCATCAAAATAAATGGTAATTCAGCGACTAGATCACTAAAAGAAAAAAAAAAATTCAAATCAAAATTTTTATAGAATATTTATAGAAATAAAATTACCCTTGAAATATGGGTCCACTTATAAAAAGTTTTACTTTAACTTTATATTGCACAATAATTCCAAGACTTTCCCTTTGTGCGGGATCTGTTATTCTGTAAAACGGAAATGTTACCATTTAAAAAATCCTAATATATTTTTAATTTTTCTTTGTGTTTCAATTTGTTACAATAATTAACATGCTAAGTTATATGCAAAGTTATGTTAAAGTTGATTAAGTTTTTATTAAAATTTTACATGCTAATTACTATTTTGAAAAATTTTGTCATGCTTTAGTAATAGTGTTTAAAGACCTTCTCTTTAAAATATATTTTTAAATAGGAGCAATGAAAAAAATTAATGAAATTGTTATAATAGTATGAGTTAAATATTTCAAAATCTTTATTATATTTGTTAAAGCTAAATGGTCATGCAAAAATATTTGTACTCAACCTTATCAAATAAATAGTTAACAAAACAATATAATGTACACATGTACTTACAAATATGATTTGATTAAATATAGGTGTCGTCCATGTTTGACAAAAAGTGACAAAACTCAAAAACAAAAAAAAAATTTTTTTTTACAATTTAAGACCTAATTTCAAAGTTTTAAATTCATTCATTAAATATAATATTAGAAGATAATTCCAGCTACTAGGAAAAATCTGCTTCTTCTTTAGAACAGTAAAATTTAGCTAAAATTTCCAATTTTTAAGTTGTGTCACTTTACAATTACATATCGGATAATATAATAATGTTATGAGCCACATAAAAAATAAGAAAACTACAATAAATTCACTTAAATTCGCAAATTCAACATACAAGCTTACTTACTTATTATAATAAAATCAATTTTAAAAAAAAAATTAATGAAAAAAACCACATTAAAAAAATAGTTAGCAAAAAAGAAATTCGTTAATGTAAAAAAATAAGAAATTATTGAGAAAAAAAGCAAAAAAAAAAATTAAAAAACAGGCAGTTTTAATCAATTGCATAATAAAGATTTAATCAAATAAATGAAAAATAAAAATTTTAATTATATTTTTGATTAAAAATTTCATTTTGAGGTTGAATAAATTCAAAATATCAAGTAGTTTTTGACAAATATAACTTTTTTAAGTGAACTGAATAAAATCTTTAATGAAGCTGTAATCGATAATGTTAAATACCAGCCGACAACATTACCGGAATAATTTAAGAACTTTCATATTAATTATCTCCTTCCAAATTTACCATTTTTTAAGCAAATTTTTTTTTACAAAAATGCCAGAAAATTTTAACAGTATGACAAGCAATTGACATTACATGAATTACATGACATAAAAGTTACAATACAAATTTAGACATTTGTTGACAAGACTAAAAATTACAATGCTTTTGTCAACTGCAATATCGATTGAGATGCAAAAGAATTCAACGTGAAATTTACGTTATTTTTGTTAATAAACAAAAAACGTCAAAATAATTTTTTTTATTCGTCATGTTAAAATTTAAATTTATTTTTTCTAAATTTTGAATTTATCAAAATCGCAGAAATGAACTTCAGAAGAAAAACATTTTTGATCTTCTTTAATTTCTAGAGCTTCTTTAATAAAAAATGTTTGAATTATCATTTTGGAAAATATTTTCTAATTTACTATATGGTTATTAACAATCGGGTTTTAAAAAATTTTCTAAAAATTAAACTTTTACAGCAAAACAAAAAATATTGTAAATTTATAAACAAAACATTTGCTTACAAAGAAATTTTGCTAAGATGTCTCTACTAGCATTAACAACAATTATAATATTTAAAAATAAAAATCTTTTTCAAAACACAAATATTTTTCGAAAATTTTTAATAATATTACAATAAAATATTTATTTAACAAAAATATACACCAGATTTATAAATAAAATAAAACAATATTCGCAAAATAAGAAAACGTTTATAATGGAAAATTTTATAACGATCAAATTATGTACACGGATTGAAAATTTTTTTTTTGTTCATTTATATATTTTTTACGTATTATTGTTTGTGGCATTTTTTATTTTTACATTATATTTACACTTACAATGTGCTTGAGGCTAAATTCGTATCCTCATGCTTTAACTGACCATCTAAAGCAAGACCCCATTTATCTTTGTTATTTGCTAACAAAGGTGTTAGTTCAAATACTTTAGAAACTGTAAAACCCGGTTGAATTTGTAATCCATCCCTTTAAATAAGTTAGATAAATTTTGAAATAATATCTTTCTATTTTAAATTTCTGAAATTTTTTGGGTTCCGATATTTTTTTTTAATAAATATTATTTTAAACTCAAACTGCAAATTTTCCTATCAAAATTTTTCATAACAAATTTTTTTATGATTAATGGGATCAAAATACAACCTCGAATGAATTAAAATCTTAAAATTAATTTATTTTATGACTAACAATTTTTAGTAAAATCTAAATAGAAAAATTCAAAGCACTTACCACAGTCTTTTTCATTTTAATACTTTCAATAATAATTAATTAAGTTGTTAAAATAAAAAAAAAATGGAAAACCCAAACGCTTAAAATAGTGTTAGAATTAAAATTAACTAAATATTAAAAACAAGAAACCAAGTAGTAATACTAAAATTAAAAAAAAAAATAAAACTAAAGAAGAAAATCGTTTTTCAAAGTTTTAATTCAAAACTAAATTAATAAAAAAAAATGAGAATAGTAAAAGGGAAGGAAAAAAAGACTACTAGTGTTGTTTATTCAGAAACCCCAAGCTATTATAAAAAATTAAATTGGAAATCTAAAAGGATAAAATCAAAACTGTTCTTAAATTTTTGTCTTCTTCTTACATGGTGCTTGATGCTAAATTTGTATCTTCGTGTTTCAGTTGACCGTCTAATGCCAGACCACGTTTATTTTTATTATTTGTCAATAAAGGTTTTACATGGAAAACTTTTGATAAAGTAAAATTTGGTAGCACCGGATTATCTCTAAATAAGTTTTATTTAAAAATAAATAATAAATTAAATTGTTTTCTTTTTTTCTAATTTTTTTTTGTTCCAATAAATTTTAGTTGAAATCTTTTAAAAAAAAAACATTGTTCAGTTCTTAAATTTCGAAACCCATTATAATTATTATAAGAAATATATATAACTTTAATAAGTTTTTGATTTAACATATTTTCATGATTTCCTAATAAAACTTACTCAGATTCAGTTTCAGCCACAATACATTTATATTGTGCTGTTGAAAAAAGACAAATATCAGCAAATTGTCTTACAAAAACTTTAATTTTTTTAACAGTTCTATTCGAATTATTTGCGATATGAACATTAACCGATATTGTTTCTCCATGATGATAAAGCTAAAAATATAAATAAATGTTAATTTCAATTAATAAATTTAAGAAAAATTTGTAATATAAATGAAGACCAAAAAAAAAAATATTTTACCTCTTTATCCAAACTTGCTTCTAAATGAATTTTATTTGGTTTCATTATAAATTCTTTACTAACTTCAATGGATGGTTGCTCCCCTAATTTTGATGGGGCATACATTATTTTTCTAATAGCTAATCGAACTGAATTTCTTTTATGTGGTTTGTCTTCAATGCGTTCACCAACAAATGCCTGAAAAATTGTTAAAATTATATTTATTATATTTATCTTTTTGTATGTTTCATTTTAATTACTTTTAGTGCCTAATACAAAAATTTATAATACTAACCTTTAATTCATAATCAACACCACATGGTTTACCTGTATCACCAGGTGCCGGTTGTAAAGATACTGACGCTGGACAATGTGGTGGTAATTCAAAATAAAATGGATATGCATTTGGTCCCAATTTTTTTATTAAACGCTCCTGTAATCTTGTTAACGGTCTATCATTACCGCTTAATGGCGGAAATATTTGTTCATGGGCCAAATATAAATCTTTACGGAATGTTAAACCTAAAACATCTAAATCTTCTCTACCATAACGAAATGCCGCTAATACATTACCAAACACTTTACGATCTTTAACGTATTCTGGATCTATTAAAACAACACCATCTACATAAAAAACAACAAAAACAAACAAAGGAAGTAAAATGTTTTTAGATTAAGTTCGTAAAACTAAACTGAATTTATTAAGTAAACTCTTACCGATTGGATCAACGTGTGTTATGTGATCAACAAAGTCTCTTTTACCTAAATAAACTGTTATTTTTCCATTTGAAGAACTCTTTTTAAATACTCTGTTATTCAATTTGTGTTTTTTATTTCGTCGCAATAATAAATTACAAATTAGAAAAATGAAAAATAAGTTACTTATACAATTTTTTAATTTAAGTTACAAAACAAAATTTTGTGCACATTTGTTTCTTATAATAAATGTAGGAATTTTTAAAATTCCACAAATTTTTTTTGCATGAGGCTTACATTACTTTGAACATTTTATCCTCTAGTAAACTATAAGAAACAAATGAGTTTATTACATTACACAAAATATATTATATTTTCTTTTAATTTCTGTTTAAAGAGCGTGTTTGATTAGAATTTACAATCTTAATTACCTTGTTGCTTGTCGTTTTGAACTCCCATCTTCTTCAACAGCTGGATCTGGTGATGGCTGCGGTGATCGATGTACAGTTGAATTCATATTTATATCAAATTATTATATTAAAATATATATCTTTTCTATTTAATCAACAATTTTAAAATTTATGATAAATTAATTTATTTTTTATTTTCAATTTAAATCGTCCTTTAAAAAATATTTAAAAATGCAATTTGTTACTTATATTTTTTTTGTATTTTCTTTTATATATATATGTATATTTTATTTTTATATTTTTATGTCAATCCAAATTAGATATTTAATGAAAAATATTTAAGTCACAACAAAAAAAAAACAAATTAAAATAAAATACTATCTGGTATAAAGCTATTCAAGGACTAAAATATTATATTTATATTTAAATATATAATATATTGTTTTGTTATAATAAAAATAATTAAAAAGGCTTATTCTATATTCAATTAGTCAATTTTTTTAATTTCCCATTTTCATTTTTGTCATTATTAATAAAATACTGGATACAGTTTTTGTTTTTTGTTAATAGAACTATTTTAACCTAGAAAAAAAATATAAAAAATTTTTAATTATTTATCAATATTAAAATTAAATAAGAAAAATATATTTATTTTTTTTTATTACATTTCGATAAAAAAAATCTGGTTGATCGTATATTATTTTTTTTTTAATATTACACATATTACGATATATTAAAACTTTAAGCACCAAATTTTAGAATTATAGTAGTTAAATGTGTTATTCAGCTTAAATGCAAATAGCTGAATTAGATTTAAACCAACATTTTATTGCAATTTGGAACTATATACACAAAAACGATTTGTTCATTGAATTTATTTACTTATTTTGTAAATTTACACTTTACTCCTCTATAAAAAGCGACCTGGTTAAATGTTAAATGATCTGGTTTAATAATTAAAATAAATTTAAATGATTAAATTTAATTTAATAATTTCGAATATTATAATTAACCTTTTTAAGTTGTTTTTACAAATAAAAATGCGATTTTTATATTTTAATTTAGTTTTTTTTTATTATTTATTTTACACAAGTGCATAAATGATCTCTTTGTTTTTTTTACATACCTGACATACAATCATACAATTATTATAAAAATTTTCAAGGAAGGAATTTCATATTTCGTTTTCTATTATAAATTTTGTAATAAAATAAAAATGAAAAAAAAACATATTTTTTTTTCAAAATAAAAATACGTACATAAATTGTAAAAAAGTAAGTAATTAGAATTTTCGTTCTTTTAATCTATGAAGGCGTTTACCAAACTGCAAATCTAATATCAAATTGACTTATTCAGCAATATTTTTTTAATAACTTAATTAAAAAAATTGAATTATTCAGTAGTTAAAACAGTATTGCTGTATAAGTCAATTTGATTTTAGATCTGCATTTTGGTACACGCCCTAAATTTACATTTTTATACTTGTTTTCTTAACATTTTTTGTTAAAAAATAAAAATTACTCGTATAGGTCTAATAATAATTTAGGAAAAAGAGTAGTTTTTTAACATTACACAAAAAAAAATTTTTTTTTTGAGATAAAATTATATTTTATTTTCTTATTTTATACATCAGCTTTTTGATTAAGTGATGAATAACCTACTGGAATTTCTTTTAATTCTGTTTTTAAACATAAAAACTCTCCAGCAACACACATAAAGGTTGCACAAACAATATTTAATAACCACCATGGGAAATTTGTTGGAAACTCAGAATTATACCACCAACATGCTATTAAATGTATTCCATGATAGGTACAACTAAAAAGAAAAAAAATAATTATTAATAAGTATATTATTATAGTTTTTAAAACAAAATAATTGCTATATTTATACAAAAATATTAAAAAATTCAAATATTGAGAGAATAATTGAGAAACAGTTATTTTACTAGAAAGTTACATTTTTCACATCAATTAATTATTTTTTTACAAAAGATATCGTTTTCTTAAACGACAAGCATGGATTGAAAGTCAGTAAAAAAAAGTCACCAATTTGGCAAATTATTTTGGGAAGAGAAAAAAGTAATTTCACAGATGATTTTTCATTAATTTTAATCTTTTTTTCACGACTTGTAAGGATAGAAATTTTCGGAATTTTTTTTTGCTTTTAGGAACTCATGCCACTTCAAAACACTAGAAGAGTAATTTGACAATTTAGGCTAAATAATAGCGTATGAGTGCACAACCTGTGTAAAGCTAAGTGCATATGATTTTCTTATTCCACCTTTTAAAAAAAGTTTTTTATTATATAACTATTTTTCTTTTTAAATTTTTGAAATTCCACTTAATATCAAATCGAAATTCTTCACTTAAATTTATTTCTAGTATAAACTATGAAAAATATTAAGCAAATTAATAATAACGGAAGTTTTACTTAAAATTTATTCTACATATATTTTTTTATATTATTATATAACACGTAAATTAAATTATAAAAAATAATTTTGCCAAACAAATCAAATTTTTATCTTGAATAAAATATTAAATTTACGTTCATAAAAAAAGTACAGAACAATTGAAATAATAAAATTTATTTAAGTACATTATATGTAGCTACACCTAACATTATTATAATCTTATACATATACATATACTCTTATATTATACACTTAGTTATTTATTATATGTGTAATCAACTGAATTATCACTATTTTGAAATATTCAATTAAATAATTTCATTATTTTTATATGAAAATTGTATAAGAGTTGAATAAATCCATTTATAATTAGGTAAGCGAAAATTGAATTTATATTACAATAGCCAGGTAAAATAATATTCTTACCTAAAATCCAGACATAATTTTGTTCGTTGTACTATGTACCATAAAGCAACAGCTCCAATTCCAGCATTAATTACGAAGGCAAGAATTACTAATCTTCCAGGTAATTCTGATACATGAATTTCCTAAAAATAAAAATGAAATTTTAAACAGTAATTTTAGTTAATTTTTTAATAAAATTTAAATTCCTGAAATCGAAATTACTTTTTTTTATGATTAATATTAAATTATTATTTTTATTTTATGATTGACAATATAAAACTCTTCGAATTATAGCTGCTTAAAAAATATCAAATGAAATTATAATGTCACTGGTAATTGGTAAAGTACTCATATTGGTATATTATATGGGAAATTTGATATAAAAATGCACAATTTCAGTACATGCTCGCAAATGCAGAATGGCACGCAACATGCTTTTTGGCATGCTACATATAAGGAAATTTAATTTAATGCTTCAATTATTTTTTTTAATTTATAACATTTCTAATTGGTTTTGTTCATTGCATTCAATGTAATTTCTTTTTAATATAAGTAGTTAGTTTTATTGTTTCCTAGTTAGCTAATTAGAGTATAATTTTTTTTTGCCAATAAACTTTCTCCTACTATATACTTTTAGTAACTTCAAAACCCTGAAAATTTTTAAGAAATACATAATAAATCTCATTGAATTTTTGTAAAATTACGTAATGTAAGTACTTTAAGCCTTGACAAAATGTACTTAAGATAAGTATGTTTGTAAATTCTAAAAAAAAATATCAAGTAATGTATTTGGAATGATGTCATTAAAGTTTTAGCTATTTCTTTTTTATATAATAGGAATTTCTTATTGAAGATTTTGCGGTTGATTACAACATTTAAATTAAGATCTTATAAAGTTGAGAAGCAAAAAAAAGTGTTAACGCCTTCTATACAAATTTTCCTTATATTGCAATTTCTTTCCATCCTTTTTATGAAAGCAATATACATATATTTAATTATGTATAAAACATTTTAGTTTCATTTTGTACTATTTTGTTACGTATTTGAATACAAAGTGACTGTTATCTATTACTGATATTGAATTAAAACTCGACATCTCGTATAACTAAATGTTAACCGAATTTTAATAATAATAATAATAATTGAAGGAAAATTACAAGAGAAATAAATTACATAAAAGCACGGGATTATCTTATAAAATTTCGGTGCTTAACTTTTAAGAAGCGTTAAGTTGCTTTTTATTATTGGACATCAAATATTTTTAAATCTATTTTCTGATACCAAAATTTATTTAATTACTTAAGTAGTTTCATTTGTTTTATACGAAAACACGTTTAACACAAAAACTCTATATATCGAATTCTTAAACGATGATCAACCCTAGCTTCCAATAATATGTAGCTTCCATGTTTCATGTATGTTGTATTTCAAAAGCTTTCGACGATGTAATAAGTTTAAAATTGTTTGGAACCCGATTTGAACACGAAGAAAAAGCAGAAAGCGTCTCGAAAAATTTCCCGATGCTGTTTATAAATTTTTTTTAAGCGGTATTGCCAATGAATGTAAAATTTCTTAAAATCTTTTTATTTGGTAATCTAGTAAAAAAAATTAAAAGCTCAAGTTTAAAGGTGGTTTAGAAACGATTTTAAAGCTGTTTTTTTTTTTTCATACTATGGAAGTCACCCATATTTAGAACTTTTTACTATATTTTAATTCCCTGTCAAATTTAGTGAAGTCTCATTATAAATAATGTTATTTAACCGTTATTTATTAGTAAAAAACAATTTTTGAAGGAAAACTTCTTTGTTTTTATAACTCTTATAAGTTTAAAAAAAGAAAAGAATTATGGTTTCATGAAAATCTTGCGTTCGTGTTTACGTTCTCATAATGTGACCATTCACGCTTCACAATTCACTTTAATTAATTTCGAGAAAATCTTACATGAATTTCAATACAATAAACTGCTTTTCCCTTTATTAAAATCTTAATTTTTTTTTGTTTAATCTACGAGTCTTAATGATGATATTGAATAACTTTTTTCATGAATTTTTTTTTCATATTTAATTAAAATAGTTTCACGTACAGATTTAAATATTCTTAAATTTTTATTTTGTTGTTTCTCTCCCTTTTTTTTTGTTCATTGTATCAATTATAGAAATGATAAATATTTATAACAATATTAAATCCCAAATAGTCTAAATAATAAGTAGTATACTCGTCTAATTTAAAAGATTATATAACAAAATTCCAACAAATAAAAGAAAAAAAAAATACAGAATCAACTTTCACCCCCTTCATTCGTATAAACATTGAAATACACATATATACATACATCCTCATATTCATATTAATATATTATTTAGAATTATTATATCTCATGAAATATATACATACATACCCTATGTATACAAATATGTATAGGCATTTTAATTGAAACATAATAAATATAAAAGATAAACTGGTAATAACAAAAAGATATTGATAGTATGTATTGCGTATAACAGAATGAAATTAATAAAATGATTAGTAGAATAAAATAATTATCAAAATGAAAAAAGAAAAAACAGAAACAAATCTAAATGACTTTCTAATTTCCAGAATTTTGTGTTTTCTAAACAATTTTTATTGAAATTTAATTATATGGGGTAGCATAGTAAATGTATAACCAAAATACATATAATAAAATCGTTATAAATTTAACACGAACATTTTATATTTATGAACTACATAAATGTACATAAATAAAATGATATAGTAAAATCGTTATGAAAAGTTCACGAACATTTATACATACATATTTACTTTAATATAATTAATTAGTATTCAAGGATCTTATACATTATAGTCTAAGTTTTGATTATACTTACTTAATAATAGTGTCATAATGAAATGCTTTAAATTCAATTATTGTTGACAGATAATAAAATTTACAATAAATTAAAGTACGCATACTATTGTTTAAGAAAAAATCACTATGAATGTGAAACTAAATGAGAAAAAAATTATTTTAAATAGTTAAAGTCCTTAACGAAATTTATTTATAATACTCGTACATTATATAAAATTGTTTAATGTTCTACAAATTTTGACAAGAAAAAAATGCGAACCTGGACAGTAACAGAAAATAAAAATTTATAAAAAACAAAACGTGCTCATTCATTACACATACTTATGTAAATTCATTAAAATGAAAAATCTCCCACAAAACAGAATGTTTTTAAATTTGTTGTAGAAAAATTTTAAAATTCAGTATTTTACAACTTTTATTTATTAATTTAATCAATATTAAAAAATTGATTTAAAGCAATTCTTCCACATTTTATATAATTATTTTTTTTTTAAAATAAAATTCTGCCATATTGTTCTCATATTTCGAAATGCTTTCTTTCTATTGAAAGCCAGACTTTTACTCTTTAGCCAGCCAGTACTCTTTTCTCTATATTAAAGTTTTTCATAGAAATTTAAAAATTTAATATTGAGCATTCAGCACTTATTTACTAACATAAAAAAAAAAGAAAAATTGGCAAGCCCTCTACCGGAATAAGTATGCCCATTTACTTTTTTGAGCTAGTCCTTCTCCGTAAATAAAGGTCTGTCTCGCATTAAGAAAAAAAATAGTGTCCAGGCCAATATTTTAATTGTGTCAAGTTATAAATAAAGGCACATTTTAATACCTATACAATTATATAAATTTTGTGTTATACTCAGTTGGAAATTCTCTTTTTATTTGATTAATTTAAAATGACTAATGGAGACATAAGTATTCAAATATGTACATATATGTAAGGATATTATGTATGTATGTTTATAACTGAAACATTAAACTAATTAAGTATATATTATCACTTGTCATTCAAAATATAGTTATATATGAAATAATTAATCATTTATTTGATAGAAACATTTATTTAACCAACAAGCAATTATAAATAATTTAAAAATAATTATATAGTAAGTGGCATTGCATTAAAAAAAAAAAAATGGAAAAAAGGATAACTTGAATATTTAATTTAATTTTAAATATGTTTCACGGAATATTTGTTCGAATTCAAATCAAATTGCCAATCAAATAATCTCTAAAAAAAAACTCAGCTTATAAATGAGTTTTATTAATTGAATCGTATAGTAAAATAAATTTATACTTTAATTTCGAAATCCTACTGTTTTGTTCGAAATCAGCTCGCAATATTAATTCGGAAGGTAAAATATTAAATACAGCTAGTAGGTTTCCATTTGAAATGTAAGAATAATTAATGATCAACAAGCAACACACAATTTATCCCTCAAATTATGTACATTAAAAAATATACTTAATTTTAAGTATAAACGTTGTTGAATAAAATTAATATCAAAGAAAAAATAATTTTTAAAATTTTAAATTTTTATTCAATTAAAAAAATAACAAAAAAAAACCAAATAATAAAAGTAATGAGGAAAAATTAAAGGTGAAAAATAAACACAAACTTTTCCAAATAGATTCGTTTTTCTTCCAAAACAGATTATGAACAATAAACATTTTTATTTTCAGTTTTTTAGTGTTATATTGGTGTTTGTTTTTTCTTTTATTTTATGGTTATTTTTTATTTATATGTTTTTTTTTTGCTTTCTTGTGTATCATTAATTTCCGAATAAATAATTAAATAATCCACACAAGAAATATAAAAAGAAACGAAAATAGGTATAGAGTTAGTCGTGTCAACTCTGTTATACCAGCACGAATGTTACCATATAATTTTATTTGCTAGTGTAAAATTTCTGGAATTTAGTTTTAGTATTTATGCTCAAATAACTTCCAAAGTTTTATGGCAGTTACCATGAGATGTCAAGCATTTCAATGGGTTTTATCTAAAAATAACAGCCATAAAAATCAGTTCATATGAAATTTCAATACTAAGTTAATAGGTTCAATCATTTTTGAGGTAAATTTTGAAGTTGTATAGCAGTTCCCAATTCTCTGTGTTGATCTCATTCAATTCGATTACATTTTCTATAGTTTGTGAAAATTTGGTGAACTTATTTACAATTAGTTTTTGTGTTATTGATAGATGAGCGGAAAAACATGACTAAATTGACTCAGAATTCGACTCTGAGCAAGATTACATACATACTATATATATGTATATATATACATATGTATTTCAAT